CAGCAGCCATCGGGGTCGAGGATCGAACCCACGACCTCCTGCATACCAGGCGAGATAGTTAACATCTCATCGCCACTGTGATGATGAGAGAAGAGAGACGCAGACTCCAAATATACAGCAGCCATCGGGGTCGAGGATCGAACCCACGACCTCCTGCATACCAGGCGAGATAGTTAACATCTCATCGCCACTGTGATGATGAGAGAAGAGAGACGCAGACTCCAAATATACAGCAGCCATCGGGGTCGAGGATCGAACCCACGACCTCCTGCATACCAGGCGAGATAGTTAACATCTCATCGCCACTGTGATGATGAGAGAAGAGAGACGCAGACTCCAAATATACAGCAGCCATCGGGGTCGAGGATCGAACCCACGACCTCCTGCATACCAGGCGAGATAGTTAACATCTCATCGCCACTGTGATGATGAGAGAAGAGAGACGCAGACTCCAAATATACAGCAGCCATCGGGGTCGAGGATCGAACCCACGACCTCCTGCATACCAGGCGAGATAGTTAACATCTCATCGCCACTGTGATGATGAGAGAAGAGAGACGCAGACTCCAAATATACAGCAGCCATCGGGGTCGAGGATCGAACCCACGACCTCCTGCATACCAGGCGAGATAGTTAACATCTCATCGCCACTGTGATGATGAGAGAAGAGAGACGCAGACTCCAAATATACAGCAGCCATCGGGGTCGAGGATCGAACCCACGACCTCCTGCATACCAGGCGAGATAGTTAACATCTCATCGCCACTGTGATGATGAGAGAAGAGAGACGCAGACTCCAAATATACAGCAGCCATCGGGGTCGAGGATCGAACCCACGACCTCCTGCATACCAGGCGAGATAGTTAACATCTCATCGCCACTGTGATGATGAGAGAAGAGAGACGCAGACTCCAAATATACAGCAGCCATCGGGGTCGAGGATCGAACCCACGACCTCCTGCATACCAGGCGAGATAGTTAACATCTCATCGCCACTGTGATGATGAGAGAAGAGAGACGCAGACTCCAAATATACAGCAGCCATCGGGGTCGAGGATCGAACCCACGACCTCCTGCATACCAGGCGAGATAGTTAACATCTCATCGCCACTGTGATGATGAGAGAAGAGAGACGCAGACTCCAAATATACAGCAGCCATCGGGGTCGAGGATCGAACCCACGACCTCCTGCATACCAGGCGAGATAGTTAACATCTCATCGCCACTGTGATGATGAGAGAAGAGAGACGCAGACTCCAAATATACAGCAGCCATCGGGGTCGAGGATCGAACCCACGACCTCCTGCATACCAGGCGAGATAGTTAACATCTCATCGCCACTGTGATGATGAGAGAAGAGAGACGCAGACTCCAAATATACAGCAGCCATCGGGGTCGAGGATCGAACCCACGACCTCCTGCATACCAGGCGAGATAGTTAACATCTCATCGCCACTGTGATGATGAGAGAAGAGAGACGCAGACTCCAAATATACAGCAGCCATCGGGGTCGAGGATCGAACCCACGACCTCCTGCATACCAGGCGAGATAGTTAACATCTCATCGCCACTGTGATGATGAGAGAAGAGAGACGCAGACTCCAAATATACAGCAGCCATCGGGGTCGAGGATCGAACCCACGACCTCCTGCATACCAGGCGAGATAGTTAACATCTCATCGCCACTGTGATGATGAGAGAAGAGAGACGCAGACTCCAAATATACAGCAGCCATCGGGGTCGAGGATCGAACCCACGACCTCCTGCATACCAGGCGAGATAGTTAACATCTCATCGCCACTGTGATGATGAGAGAAGAGAGACGCAGACTCCAAATATACAGCAGCCATCGGGGTCGAGGATCGAACCCACGACCTCCTGCATACCAGGCGAGATAGTTAACATCTCATCGCCACTGTGATGATGAGAGAAGAGAGACGCAGACTCCAAATATACAGCAGCCATCGGGGTCGAGGATCGAACCCACGACCTCCTGCATACCAGGCGAGATAGTTAACATCTCATCGCCACTGTGATGATGAGAGAAGAGAGACGCAGACTCCAAATATACAGCAGCCATCGGGGTCGAGGATCGAACCCACGACCTCCTGCATACCAGGCGAGATAGTTAACATCTCATCGCCACTGTGATGATGAGAGAAGAGAGACGCAGACTCCAAATATACAGCAGCCATCGGGGTCGAGGATCGAACCCACGACCTCCTGCATACCAGGCGAGATAGTTAACATCTCATCGCCACTGTGATGATGAGAGAAGAGAGACGCAGACTCCAAATATACAGCAGCCATCGGGGTCGAGGATCGAACCCACGACCTCCTGCATACCAGGCGAGATAGTTAACATCTCATCGCCACTGTGATGATGAGAGAAGAGAGACGCAGACTCCAAATATACAGCAGCCATCGGGGTCGAGGATCGAACCCACGACCTCCTGCATACCAGGCGAGATAGTTAACATCTCATCGCCACTGTGATGATGAGAGAAGAGAGACGCAGACTCCAAATATACAGCAGCCATCGGGGTCGAGGATCGAACCCACGACCTCCTGCATACCAGGCGAGATAGTTAACATCTCATCGCCACTGTGATGATGAGAGAAGAGAGACGCAGACTCCAAATATACAGCAGCCATCGGGGTCGAGGATCGAACCCACGACCTCCTGCATACCAGGCGAGATAGTTAACATCTCATCGCCACTGTGATGATGAGAGAAGAGAGACGCAGACTCCAAATATACAGCAGCCATCGGGGTCGAGGATCGAACCCACGACCTCCTGCATACCAGGCGAGATAGTTAACATCTCATCGCCACTGTGATGATGAGAGAAGAGAGACGCAGACTCCAAATATACAGCAGCCATCGGGGTCGAGGATCGAACCCACGACCTCCTGCATACCAGGCGAGATAGTTAACATCTCATCGCCACTGTGATGATGAGAGAAGAGAGACGCAGACTCCAAATATACAGCAGCCATCGGGGTCGAGGATCGAACCCACGACCTCCTGCATACCAGGCGAGATAGTTAACATCTCATCGCCACTGTGATGATGAGAGAAGAGAGACGCAGACTCCAAATATACAGCAGCCATCGGGGTCGAGGATCGAACCCACGACCTCCTGCATACCAGGCGAGATAGTTAACATCTCATCGCCACTGTGATGATGAGAGAAGAGAGACGCAGACTCCAAATATACAGCAGCCATCGGGGTCGAGGATCGAACCCACGACCTCCTGCATACCAGGCGAGATAGTTAACATCTCATCGCCACTGTGATGATGAGAGAAGAGAGACGCAGACTCCAAATATACAGCAGCCATCGGGGTCGAGGATCGAACCCACGACCTCCTGCATACCAGGCGAGATAGTTAACATCTCATCGCCACTGTGATGATGAGAGAAGAGAGACGCAGACTCCAAATATACAGCAGCCATCGGGGTCGAGGATCGAACCCACGACCTCCTGCATACCAGGCGAGATAGTTAACATCTCATCGCCACTGTGATGATGAGAGAAGAGAGACGCAGACTCCAAATATACAGCAGCCATCGGGGTCGAGGATCGAACCCACGACCTCCTGCATACCAGGCGAGATAGTTAACATCTCATCGCCACTGTGATGATGAGAGAAGAGAGACGCAGACTCCAAATATACAGCAGCCATCGGGGTCGAGGATCGAACCCACGACCTCCTGCATACCAGGCGAGATAGTTAACATCTCATCGCCACTGTGATGATGAGAGAAGAGAGACGCAGACTCCAAATATACAGCAGCCATCGGGGTCGAGGATCGAACCCACGACCTCCTGCATACCAGGCGAGATAATTAACATCTCATCGCCACCGCGGTGCCCCCTAACCCTCTCCCGTATCCTCTCCCTTAACATGCCCCTCCACCTCCACGCATAAAACATTATCACAAGTTTCCCATTTTACTCCATAACCTCATCTCCATCCCTTTGTCCTACTCCTATCCAGGGGCGGTTTCTTCATTAGGGCGATTGGGCGACGCACCACCAATGTCATTCAACCACAGAGTCACGCTAGCCGTCACTGTGCCTCTGGATATAGTCCAATCAGCGTCATGTCACGTTCTGTGGAGTACCGCCTCTTTTTGGGAGATTTCACTCTGGCTAGGAATCGCCCCGAGTGTTCCCATAGACTTACATTCAAAGATGTTTTTTTTCGAACGGGGGGCGCTGCAATGCATTCTCTACGGCTTCCGGGAGGGCTCGCCCTAACGTGCTTACGTCATCATACGTAAGCACGTTTCAGTCAACAATATTATTTGTCGCCACCTAGTGGAATCTTTAATAAAAGAAACTGAGTGGATTGTAATAATAGTGAGTATAGAAACAAACAAGATGTATTGTAAGAGTCACTTTATTTCTCATTAATATTAAAGAAGTGAAGTTGCCTTTACATGCTTAAGCTGTTAATTTATCCATTGCATGGGTGGACCTTATCCTTATCAATCATCCAGACATTTGCCCCCCCTGAGAGATTTTGCAGGAGCCGCCACTGCTCCCATCTCTGGCCTCGCCCTCCCACTTGGGCTTTCTTCCCCCCACCAGGTACAGGGGGTGGCCGCCACATTAAGCGCGATGCTGTGAGGCACACTCGCATGAAGGGAATGGAGGTTAAGCTCGTCCAAGGTTTAAACCATGGTGGGTTTTACTCTCCAACATACAACCGGTTAGTGTTCAACTAAATAACTCATTGATTACGTTTTGTTTTATGGTACCCAGCCACCCCAGTTCGATCCTGCTCATGGCCCAACGCCAGTGTGACGATTATCCGAAATCGGTCCTGGGCCTCAAACTCAAATGAGTACCCAGTGCGGTGTGTGGACATTACCCCTGGGGGGGGGGAGACAACGGCGGTCGGGTGTGGTGTTGCTAACAGCACTTGCCCCAACCGTAATGTACGGATCGCTTCAGTGGAGGTTTCTTTCAGAGGCGTCGTGCTGTCGATGACAAAGTTCGGTCCAAACCCGCGTGGTTCCGTGTTCGGTTGTTGTTGGTGGTTTGGAGGAGTGTTGTGGAGCGAAGTGATGCGTTGTTAATGCTCGTTAAAATGTTGCCAAACTTAGACATCGATCTGCTGTGGTAAATAAATACATTGAATAAACTTTGGAGAAATCACGAAGCGTGTTTTATTTGTGAGAAAACGTTTATTTCCAAAAGTGTGTTTAATACAGAATCATTTCCCCTCAGAAAATGGCGGTCAATTTTAATTCGTGATCGATTAATGGAATTATTACACCAAAACCTGTAAAAAGAAACATTTACTCACTGAAGAGACACGGAAGCTGTGCAAACCTACAACTGTTTATCCTTATCCGACGTTAATCCTTACATTTGTAAGGGTCGCTGTGCGTGCAACATTGTTGGTGATAACCGCCATCGCGTACCGAATAGAGGCAGTTCTCGGCTTAGCACTCAAAACGCGTTGTTCCTGGAGAAGTGAGCACTCAACGACTAGGCCAGGGGTCGGGAACCTTTTTGACTGGGAGAGCCATAAAAGCCAAATATTTCTAAATATATTTCATTGAGAGTCATATAGTATTTTTAACGTATACTAAATTAAAAATGCCTTACTTTTAATGTGACTTCTGGTCACGGGTGCCGTGACCCGAGAAATTTTATCTTCAAAACTAATTTCTGTTTACTTTAAAATGACACAGTATTATTAAGCAATATCACAAGTATTTTAAAATCAGTTCCAAACTGATTTTTTTTTTATTCTTTTTTTCAACTCAAAATTGTCTGGGAGCCATATGCCGTCACCGGAAGAGGCATATATGGCTCGCGAGCCATAGGTTCCCGACCGCTGCACTAGGCGCTAGTACCATCGTATATATGGGGATGCATTCTCGACAGCGTTATTTCTTTCATGAGCAATATATGAGGATAAACAGTTATTAGCCTCCTACTCCCAGCCCCGCTCACTCCCCCCCCCCCCCCCCCCGGCATTTTGCCGTGCTTGCTCTTTAATCCCTCTTTTTAAATCCTTTATATTAAGTTCGCTTGCTTGCTTGCGTGCGTGCTTGCTTGCTTACGACCGTGCAAATCTTTCGCTCGTTTTTTACCCACTTCCCGTGATCCAATCGAGCTGACATTTTCCACACAGACTCATTTTGTGTGACAATTAATTTTCGTGAAAAAAAAATGCAAAAATTTTACACTGTTTAGGGAAAACAAATTAAATATTTAATTACCAATTGCTTAATGGTGGCAGACAATCATCTGACCCATATGTGGCAGCCATCTCAAGCCAGAGGACGAGAGGACTCTAGCCGCCACGCATATAAAGGATTTAGTGAAAAACGTTGTTTTTACGGGTTATACTTGTTTCTGCTCGTCCTCTAAACGTTCTCGCAGCACTCCCCTCCCTCTACTCCACACCCCCCTCTCTATCTCTCCCCCCTTGCCCCCCCCCCCTCTCTTGCCTATATAGCCTCTTGTTACAGCAGCGCTTTTGCCCACTTCAGCAATTGTTCTTGCTGTGGTTGTCCCACCTGACGACAGACGCTTGTGTTGCGCCCGAAACGTCGTGATTTAATTTAATTTATTTTATACCTACATGACTTTACTAAAAGAACCAAAGAGTATGGATCCCTGCAGTCACGAAAACTTCAAATCTAGATTCAAAATATGAGGGTTTCATTGGGGTATAGGTAATAGTGACGATGATAATAATACAGATGGTAAACATTGTTTCACAGATATAAAAACAAAATGTATAATAACATCGGTATTGTGTACTGTACTCTTGAGTTCATTCTACTATACTCCTGCAATGCAGAGGTGGGAGACGAGGTTGGAGCTGATGTGCTCGCAATCCGGGTGTTAGTGATGCCCTCAGTCTATATTTCTGCAGTGAGGTTCCTTTCAGGTGGACCTTGAGACTCGATCCTGGTCTCGTGAGTTCCTACCTGGCTAAACGTATGGTAATAACATGGAACGATATATAGACAGTAGAGATTTTGACATAAATTAATAACGCATGAATTGTCCCTTAAGCCAAATTTAATCATCTAAAGACAGTTATACATTGTTCTTCTTGTTAATTACAAGTCATGTGCTTGAACCGAGTAAATAAGTGCCCCGGTTAATCCGAAATCCACGTGATCGCCTCTTTAATACAGTAGTTGCATATCTTTACAACCGCGGGTGGAGTTTGATTGATTAAAATTTGGAGGCCAAAAATCGGAGGACCCAGAGAACAATCCACACGACCACGGGGACAACATTTACAATCCAAATATACAGCAGGCGTTATGAGTGGGATTGAACCCACGACCTCCTGCATACCAGGTGAGGGTAGTTAATCTCACCAACTGCTTGATATTACCTACGTACTGCGTGAAAACAAACCCAACATACTGAGCAAATTAAAACCCTACTACGTACTATCAAGCAAAATCTAAAAATAAATAAATTAAGAAATGGTAAAAAAACGAAAAAGCACACACAATAAAAAATTTATCACAATAAACTCCTTAAAATAATATCTATATTTTACCAGCTACGGCCCACTGAGCTATATAACTAATTTTCAAAAGCGGCCTAGCTATCACAAGTGATGGCGCAACGAAGTCACTTATCATCACGTGGGAATTTATGGCAGCCAAATAATCTAAACGCGCGTTTCTAATTGTGGAGGGGAAGAAACGGAGCGCCCGTGGAAAAATCCACGCGCATCTCACCACCATGTCTTGCACTAGGAAGCAATAACGAGGTGCGGTTGGCATCAGTGACTTGGCGGAGATGATCTCAATCTCACAAAGTCTGCATGAGACTGCTTACCAACCCAACATAACTAACAGTGTAACTTTCCAAGCATGCCGCGACCCAACAGAGTTACCCATGCAAAGTTCCCTTGATGTTTACTCTGCATCGTTAGATTGAATGAACACAACAATAATGCTACTGCTGCTGTTGTCACTGCAAAGTCGGTTTGGACCGCCTGGCGATTTGTGTCAGGTTGAGTCTTCGACAAACGTCCATACGACAATGTCACTGGCAGGCGTAATGGCTCAATGTTTCCACGACCACAGGCAACAACCTTCCATCTGCACGAGTGTTCCAGGTCTCTGTTCCCACTCGCTGTGAGCCAAACCCGGGTTTTTTTAAATCCTTTATATTAAGTTCACTTGCTTGCGCGCTTACGACCGTGCAAATCTTTCGGTCGTTTTTTAACCCACTTCCCGTGATCAAATCGAGCTGACATTTTGCACACAGACTCGTTGTGCGTGACAATTTCTTTTCGTGAAAATTTTTTTCCAAAATTTTCCACTTTTTAGGAAATTTTTTTTTTTTTATATTTTATTTGAAATACCAATGTGATAAAAATGAAACTCTTACTCAAGAAAAACAGAAATGAATGATAAAATAAAACCGATGCCACGCATATAAAGGATTTATAGTGAAATACTTTGTTTTTACGGGTTAATTTTTTATATTCACATTCATTCACCGAACCGAATTTATATTTACATCGAGCGCCTTCACTCAAAGCGTTGATATACAGTCTTCTCTCGGGTTAACGTTCTCAATCTGTTCCACGAAAACTACTGTTAACGGAATAACCGTTAATCGAATTAACTTATGAGCTGAAAAATAGAAGAAGAAAAAATCACTGCGTCTGCTAGAGCTGTTTCCACTGCCAAAACAGAGAACGTAATGTGAACAAAGCCAGTCGAGGTCTAAACGCTCATAAATGGGTGTCACTGATTGGCTGAGAGCACGGCTCAATCACACTTGCGAGCGCTCGGGTTGGCCAAAATTGGTGCACGCGTGCAAAACGTAAACATACCATTACATCAAAATTTGTAACGTTAGTGGAAACCATGGGGGTCTAATGGGAGGCGAAACGTTAGCCGAAAAACCATTAACCGAGGAACTACTGTAGTTTACAAGTCAATTACAGAATGGAATGATGTATTTGACAGTGGGCGTGCTACAAGGATTGAGGAATGAGCGACAGCGACAGAGGGGTACTTGGGGATCACAAAATGGGTATAGGGGAGGGATGGAAAGGAGTGGAGGGGCGTGGGGAGTGAAGAAGATGAAGAGAATGAGCGATGGAGAAGCGAAGAGCCTATAAGAGAGGAACGGAAGGGGGTTAACAATGGGGTCTCTGCTGAATGTACAGGGGAAGTTTATTCAAGTGGAGCGGTCCAAGGAGGGAGAATGACTACAAATAGAATTGAGAGACAGAGAAGATTGGGAACAAACAGGGCAAGAGACGGGAGCGGCAACGGTGTGAATAAAGATGCCCTTGCAAGTGGCAAAGGTGCCCCGAGTGCTCTCTGTAAAGATCCCCCTCTCGTACCCAAACTAGTGCAGTCATGTACGGTTTAGTGACAACTCTTTGGCACGCACCAAAAGGGTGTTTACGAGTCCAATTCGAACCTCAGCACAGAAGTTCCCCGCCCCACCTGCGTCTCAACAGCATCACGAACACCACCACGCAGGTCCCCCGATACAGGCCGCAGGCAGGGCCCATGGAGTTGGGGGGGGGGGGGAACTTCTCTCAGCTCAGCTCAGTAGAGATGTCATCACCGATGGCATCGAGGGTGCGCTTCACGGCACGCTCGATGTCCCCCGCGTATCTGAGCAGGTTCATGTCACGCGTAAGCTCAGCATGGCTTGGGAAGTTCCAATCCTTCCGCCAGCGCTTGTAGTGCTGCACTGTCGCCTGCGAGTCCGGCACCCGCCTGAGACCGTGGCCCGGCCTTAGCGCCAGCACGCGGTGCACGTCGTGGAACTCGATGCCACGGGGCTGCAGCAGCACCTTGGAGGCCACGTCGCCGGGTGGGTACGTCACCTTGTCCACGTGGCCCAAGATGTCGGTGCCATGCACCCGGAGGCCCGAGCTCGAGACCCGCGTCGCAGTCTCTGCCACCGGGAAGTTGTGCATGCGGAAGTAGTAGGCAGACGCGCCATGCTTCGACAGGGCCTCCATCATTTTGGGCCAGTTGGGCCACTCCCTGGGGATGATGATCTCATCCAGGTCATGCATGGCCAAGTACCGCGCCCGGTACATGTTCCTGTACAGGCAGTCGTTCAGGGTGGCGATCTGCCCATAGTAGTGCAGGTCACCCGGGTTCACATTGATGTCCCAGCCAGTGGACGGATTCAGGAAGTCGGTGATTGGCCACTGCTGCACGTCCATGAAGCCCGAGCGTGCGTAGTGGCGCAGCAGCGCGTCCACCTGTGGGCTCACGCTCGTGTTGTAGACGGTGACGAAGCCGGCGCCCAACAGGCGGTACAACTCCATACTCTGCACGAGGAGCAGCGCGTCGCTGAAGCCGCCGAAGAGGGTGGGGAGGCAGACCCCGAAGTGGTGCCGAGGTGGGGAGGGCTCCCGGTTCTGCACCGGCATCAGCACCGAGGAGAAGATGGAGGAAGTTGATGAGGCGCCACCTTCCTCGTCCATCACCAACGCCACGTGGCTCGGGAGGGCCTCCCCCTTGGGCACGCGGCACAGGAAGTTGAAGACTGCGAACTCAAAGTTGTAATGGTTGCTCGGCATTTTTGGTGTGGCGGCCACAGAGATGGCGCGCCTGGGCTCGGCATCACCGTAGAACATCCTGCAGCTCGCCTTCCCAAATGACCACCACCGCCACCGCGGCCACCGCCATGGCCACGACCACTGCCATGGCCACAGCCACGGCGGGCCACGGGGAGCGAGGGCGAAGACACGGAGGAGGGGCTGCCCATCGCCGCGCGTGTCCAGATACGCCGAGAAGGCGAGGACGCGCGACGTGCCCACCTTGTGCAGCCGCACGTCAGCTCGAGCGTGCCGCCCCATGGGGGCAGGGCTGAGGAGGCCACGGGGTGGCGGGGTCAAGGAGGCCATGAGGGGGCGGGGCAGAATCAGTGGGGGGGCGGAGCCGAGGATGAGCACCACCAGGACGGCCATGGCCAAAAGAAGCAGCAATACGGGGAACAGCATCCTCTTGTGGCCGTGCAGCACGCGCATGGTGACCAGCTTGGTCATTGCGATCCCGAGTTTTAGTTTTCTCGCAGTGCGTTGCATCGGGCGGCGGTTTGCGGGACTGCCGTCTGTTGTGTTTCGCAAAAGACAACACAGCAATTACTGCAATTCTCATCATCGTCACCATAATGCCTTCATATAAATACAAAGTGTAGATATATTTTATAGGGCTAATAGGGGTATTCTCTGGGTCTAACACTGGTGAGACAAGGCCATAAAAAAGTCTGTCTCTAGTGTAGGCCAATCAGTTTCAAAGTCAATGCAAACATTATCAGAGCATGTTTGTTTGAATTTTTTACCAGAAGCACGTGTGGTTAATGCAGACTCGATGCCTTGTAATAGGTGTGTCTATTTGGTGTTTGAACATTTTAACACCTTCTATATTATTTTAAACTACGTATTATCCTGAAGGTGAGGCGTTTAGTCAGTCCTGCCGGCTGAACGGTACTCATTCTGACCACGAGGTGGCAGCTTTCTTCTGCCACCTCAAACAGGAGGAGCATTTCTCTGGCTATTGCCTGACCAGGTTGGTTGTAATGTCAAGGTACTCAAATTGTAAATGTTGTGTGTGTACTCTCCAACATACTAGTGTGTGTTGAACTAGTAACTAACAACATTTAAGAATAGGTGTTTTACCCTTTCTGGAAATAAAACTGATGCGAAGATTTTTCGATTTAAAGCTTTCGTGACTGCAGGGATTCATCTTCTTGGTTCTTTCGGTAAAGTCAAAGTAATAAAATAATAAAAATAAAACATAATAAAATAATTCTCACGACGTTTCGGCCACAACTCAAGCAGCCGTCCTCAGGTGATAGTTATTATTTTTTATATCTTCTCGACAAACCTGTTCTTCACCTGAGGACGGCTGCTTGTGTTGTGGCCGAAACGTCGTGAGAATGATTTTATTATGTTTTATTTTTATTATTTTATTATTTCCATTCTACGTGACTTTACCGAAAGAACCAAGAAGAGGTATGTTGACTCATGAATCCCCCCCAGCGCACCTGAGATTTTAACACACCTTGATAGCTCATGGATTTTCCCTTAAGCCATCGTTAGCTGTGTTAGTAAATGGCGGCTTGCCATCATTTTCCACCTCCTTGTAGTGATGGCTCTTTCCTAGCTCTCTCCGAGCTTACATTTACAAGCATCTCTTAACCTTTGAGAAACAGCTTTGATTGGTGTAGACCTACTGCAGGTTACGGAGACCTCTCCTACGTTAATATTAGCTGCCCTGCCCATCTCTAATCCTTTATAAACAGCCTGCTTAAGCAGCTTTCACCCTCTTTTTTCACCTAATGACGATTGCTTGTGTTGCGATCGAAACCTTGTGATATTGTTGTCAATGTGGCTTCACCGAAAGACCCAAAGAATATGAATTCCTGCAGTCACGAAAGCTTTAATTCAAGAATAAACAGAAGAATAAAAAATAATAGGCATTATCCTTTCCGGCAATAATACAGGAGGTGTTAAGACATTCAAACATGCTGCCATACATCTAAGAACGGTTCTCTTGATGTAAATAGAGGACTTGCCGTATTGAAATACATGGGGCACATCAAACTTCTACTCATAAGAAATATTATTGATGACATCCCACCACCTATTTAAGGCTCACACTGGACATACCAGTCAACCCCTTATCAGTGCCTACCTTATTACAGAACAATTGAAATCTTCTTGGTTCTTTCGGTAAAGTCACGTAGAAGGGAAGTAATAAAAAATAAAACATAATAAAACAATTCTCACGTTTTGGCCACAACGCAAGCAGCCGTCCTCAGGTGAAAACCAGGTCCGTCGAGGCGACAGAGTCTGAATGAAACAGCACACGAGCTTGAGCATATATATAAGCTGGGCGCATTGACAAAGGAATTTGCATATCAAGAGGAATTTAGCATATTTATGGGAAATGCAGGAATGTGATTAGTACTGCATATGCATGTGCATTATGCAGGATTAACAGCATCAAAGGGAGCTACAGTTGCTGCTGCTGCTGCAGTTGCTGCTGCAGTTGCTGCTGCTGCTGCAGTTGCTGCTGCTGCTGCAGTTGCTGCTGCTGCAGTTGCTGCTGCTGCTGCAGTTACTGCTACTGCTGTAGTTGCTGCTGCTGCTGCAGTTGCTGCTGCTGCTGCTGCTGCAGTTGCTGCCTTATCCATTTGAATATAACACTATGTATTATTCTACCCACCCTAATGTGTATCACACTGCTATATATTTACTATACAATTACGACACCATACATTACTCTGCACACTGCACCATGCCAGTGAGTGGAACGCGGTCTGAAAGTCACCGTAAACGTGAACACAATCAGTTAAGATCCGAAATGGTTTATTACGTCCTTCCAATGATTGCTAAGCCAGAATCCATCTTCTCGGTTAAAATTGTCTCTGTGTTTGTATATGTGGATCGCCTCATGAACGAATCTCTCATGATAGCCAGATGGCTTGCAGAGAACCTCTGTCTTGGAGAAGTCAATGTCATGTGAGCCCACTGAGTTGTAACAGTGATCTGCCACGGCTGAGGTGTTTGTCCTACCGTGTTTCAGGTCTGCTTTATGTTCACGGATGCGGTCCGAGACATGTCGTTTGGTTTCCCCAATGTAACTGCTACCACAGAGGCAACTTAGTTTGTAGACGCCAGGGTACTGTATGTCTGGAACCACATCTTTTACAGACGGTACCAGATCACGGATTTTATGTACTGTGTTGAATCGGACCTGGATCTTGTGTTTAATCAGGATTTTGGAGATCTTTTTTGTGACCCCAGCAATGTAGGGTAAGGTGATGGTCTTGAAAGGCTCCTCAACAGGATCCTTCTTGATGGTTGGAGTGATGGCTTTGCGGATTGTGTAGTCGGAGTAACCATTAGCCTTAAGAGCTTGGCGTACGTGTTTGAGTTCACTGGAAATGTGTTCCTGGTCGGAGATGCATTGGGCTCTATGATATAGAGTCTTGATGAGGGAATTCTTCTGGGATGGATGGTGGTGGGAATCCGGTTTTAGGTAAGCATCCGTATGGGTGGTTTTCCTGTAGACAGAGTGGCTCATTGAACCATCAGGTCTCCTTTTGATTAGGACATCCAAAAAGGGTAGCTTGCCATCTTTTTCGACTTCCATGGTGAATCTGATGGCTGGGTGTATGGAATTGATGTGGTCGAGAAATTGGTCTAGAGCAGGCCGGCCATGTGGCCAGATGACACAAGTGTCATCTACGTACCTCTTCCATAAGGTCGGGCGTAGAGTGGCAGTCTGGATGGCGTCCGTCTCAAATTTCTCCATGAAGATGTTGGCTACAACCGGAGATAGGGGGGAGCCCATTGGGGTGCCCTCAGTTTGCTTGTAGAAAGTTCCATTCCAGGTGAAGTATGTATTGGTTAAGCAGTGTCTCACCAGGGGGGGTACCCCAGCATTCAGTCCTTGATGAACCAAGTCTTCAATGATTGCGATGGTGTCAGGTACAGGAACCTTGGTGAATAAGGAAACCACATCAAAACTGACAAGCAGGTCGTCTGGGGACAGGGCAATCCCCTTGATTGTCGATACCAGGTCAGTAGAGTTTAGTACCGCAGAGGTGGTTTTTCCAGTGAAAGGCCGTAGGATTTCAGACAGTAACTGCAGCAGCAGCAGCAACTGCAGCAGCAGCAGCAACTGCAGCAGCAGCAGCAACTGCAGCAGCAGCAGCAGCAACTGCAGCAGCAGCAGCAACTGCAGCAGCAGCAGCAACTGCAGCAGCAGCAGCAACTGTAGCTCCCTTTGATGCTGTTAATCCTGCATAATGCACATGCATATGCAGTACTAATCACATTCTTGCATTTCCCATAAATATGCTAAATTCCTCTTGATATGCAAATTCCTTTGTCAATGCGCCCAGCTTATATATATGCTCAAGCTCGTGTGCTGTTTCATTCAGACTCTGTCGCCTCGACGGACCTGGTTTTCACCTGAGGACGGCTGCTTGCGTTGTGGCCGAAACGTCGTGAGAATTGTTTTATTATGTTTTATTTTTTATTGTTTTATTACTTCCCTTCTACGTGACTTTACCGAAAGAACCAAGAAGATGAATCCCTGCAGTCACGAAAGCTTTAAATCGAAACAATTGAAATATCAACGTTCTCTCTACAAAGTCCCATCACAAATAGACATTTTTTTGGCCCGTATTGAAACGGCTGTATGCCGTATGGACCTGAAAACTCAATTTCCCTGTAACAATAACACGGGTAACCCATATGGGTTGGCAGGTAAGACACTGGATAACATTTTCCCCAATCATTGCAACTGCCCGATTGACGATGGTGTCTGTAGCTACAGGTGAAATGTCGAACTTTCCCTATTGTTAAAACGCGCGTGAATCGCTCTACAACAACTCCAACCGTGCTGCTGCTGCTGCAGCAGTATAAGAAGGTGGCTACGTTTGTTCATCACATGACAACTTTATTCAACGGCTGTGTCGGGTGTAGGAGGGTGTATGACACATACTTTACTTAAAACTAGCTACAATTTTTTTTACCAGGTAAGGCCCCACTATACAGTAGGCCCTCGATTAATGTTTTTAATCCGTTCCACGAAAAGCACTGTTAACCGAAATATAACTGTTAATCGAATGCACTTCTAAGTTGGAAAATAAGTATAACCCGTAAAAACTAAGTTTTTCACTATAAATCCTTTATATGCGTGGCAGCGAACTTAATATAAAGGATTTAAAAATATATACGCCTGTGGAGGACGCGGGGATCGATCCCGCGACCTTTGGCATGGGAAGCGAGGGCGCTACCAACTGCGCTACTCCGCCACGGCCTGTGGAGGGGTTACGCTCTGGGCTCTTACACTGTGACGTTCAACCAAAGCCAAGAATGAGTTCTATTTGAACATATGTAAAATAATATTTTTTTGCCTAAAAAGTGTAACATTTTGGGAATTTTTTTCCCGAACAATAATTGTCTGGCACAACGAGTCTGCGTGGAAAATGTCAGCTCGATTGGATCACGGGAAGTGGGTTAAAAAACGACCGAAAGATTTGCACGGTCGTAAGCAAGCAAGCACGCAAGCAAGCAAGCATGTGAACTTAATATAAAGGATTTAATAAGTAAAAATTACCGAGAGAGCTGTTGCCACTGTAATGTGAACAACGCCAGTTGAGATCTCAGCGCTCATAAATGGGCGTTGCCGATTGGCTGAGGGCATGGCTCAGCCGACTTAACGGGCGCTCGGATTGATGGAAAATTGGCGCCCGCGTGCATAATGTAAACGTATCGTTAGTTACAATGTTAACATTAGTTGAAACCATAGGGTCCTATGAGAGGCGAAACGTGAACCGCAAAAACTGTTAACCTATGTCACTATTCTTGGGGTTTTTCGGTAAAGTCACGTAGGTAAAAAATGTAAATTAATAAAAGTAAAATAAAAATAAAAATCACGACGTTTCGGAAGCAACACAAGCTTCCGTCTGTTCCACCTGAAGACGGAAGCTTGTGTTGCTTCCGAAACGTCGTGATTTTATTTATTTTATTTTGCTTTTATTCATTTAAATTTTTTACCTACGTGACTTTACCGAAAAAAACCTAAGAATATGAATCCTTGCAGCCACGAAAGCTTGAAATCTAGAAAAAACCTATGTCACTGTTAACCGAGGGACTACTGTATGGCTCTCTGTTCAGAAATGATAGCTAAACGAAGTGGCTTATCGCATGGACATTTATAGCTGCAGCCAAATACTCTAAGCGCGTGACGTTGATTCTAAATGTGGAGGAAAAAACCAGAGGACCCGGAGAAAAATCCACACGACCACGGGGAGAGAGAGAGAGAGACGCGGCAAACTCCAAAAATACACCCGGCGTCAGGGTTGGGATGGAACCCACGACTTACGCAACCTGCCACGCGAATCACAAATGAATAATTTCTGAATCACACATACACAGCCCAACCTCATGACAGAATCAGAAGCAGGATATTTATTTATACTGGAGGAATCCGATGAGCTACGAATCTCGTTTCCACAGATATCCAGTATTTCACAGATCACGCCCTGACTCAGCTAAGCCAAATTTTGAAGCCAGAAAAGCCACCAAAAAAACTCACTGAAAACGTCCCATCGAGAGCTGTGAGCTGTGCCAACGGTAGGAGGTGGTGTAAAGCCAAATTAATCTCACGTGGGGAATGCTGCACGTGATTAAGACTCGAATTAGAGACGCTATCCGTGGTCACTGTAACAGTAGAGTATAGCAAATGCAAATAGCGTCCGTATAATGTGCACTGGCAATTGTAAAAGCTATGCGCAGCACCCACAACTTACTTAATTTGTAGCTTTCGTGACTGCAGGAATGACTCTTTGGTTCTTTCGGTAAAGTCACGGATAAAGAGAAAATAATAAATTAAATACTAGCATACGACGTTTCGATTGCAACACAAGCAATCGTCATCAGGTATAAATGAAATAGAAACACAAATCTAGTATACTTAGAAATGTAATGTAATACAACAGAGAGTCGGATAACACAACAGTCAACACCCTACCTGGTTGATTACGTTCTTCCTGAGAATGCTACATTTGAGAGAGAGACGTAACACAGAACCAGAGACATACAGACAGACACATAAGCAGAGACAGATATCACAGAGATACATAGAGACACACACATAAATGAAATAGAAACACAAATCTAGTATACTTAGAAATGTAATGTAATACAACAGAGAGTCGGATAACACAACAGTCAACACCCTACCTGGTTGATTACGTTCTTCCTGAGAATGCTACATTTGAGAGAGAGACATAACACAGAACCAGAGACATACAGACAGACACATAAGCAGAGACAGATATCACAGAGATACATAGAGACACACACATAAATGAAATAGAAACACAAATCTAGTATACTTAGAAATGTAATGTAATACAACAGAGAGTCGGATAACATAACAGTCAACACCCAACCTGGTTGATTACGTGTACGTCTAATTCTCTATGTATCTCTGTGATATCTGTCTCTGCTTATATGTCTGTCTCAATGTCTCTGGTTCTGTGTTTTATCTCTCTCTCAAATTTAGCATTCTCAGGAAGAACGTAATCACCCCCAACTTGTCAGTTGTGTGAAATTCTGCCCAGGCTTATTCTGGAACACCACGCTCACCCCCACATGTTTTGCTTCGTGGCTGTTCATCTCTCTATCTCATTGCGTTCACTTTCCATTTTATTTGCAGCAACAAAAAAGACGCCACTCGAGCAGGAGAAACGCAAATTGTTCCTTGCCATTCAACAACTTCCACATCTGCTTTGTAGCGATGGTCGGTGACTTGGCATCAAACTGTGCAGCAGTGATTGTGTCCAATGCTTCCACGTTCACCTTGAGAGGGACAAAAAAAAGATAGGCCCAAGATCAGACATCTGTGAAAAGAGCTTCATAGCTAATCGGTTCCTCCAGTGTAAATGCATATTCTGATTCTGATTCTAACCCCGTTTTTTCCCAAGTGGTGTAGAGTATGCGGCACACAGAGTACCAGAGAACCACAATACCTCACTGCTGATCTCAAGGTGAATAAACCACGTGAATTCCAGTCATCCTCGCAGAAGCAGCAGTGACTTTCGCCTGCTAGCCATCGAACAATGATGGTGATCACCGCATCTAGCGGCCGTCTGGAACACTCTTTCCTTCCGATATTAGGAAGCCACTCGGAGCTATGCGCTTTTAAATAATCTAGATTGAAAACTAATTTCTGCAGAACAGTTTTTTGTGTTTAGTTTGCTGTCCTTTCCTAGCGCCTCTGATTAGCACGGTTGGCTTCGTACGGCGCGAAAGAAGTTCAACATACGTAGCACGAAATGTTTGAATAGATCAAGAGACACACGGACAATTAAATAACATCAATAACAAACACAACGACACACAAACGTCAAAGTAAAACAATAACCAAGACACCCAGAGATCAACATAAATGACCTTATATACTTAAATAGTGCCTTTAATCTAAGGCGCTTTACAACAATTATGAAAATGTACATACGATGACAGTGGTTTAAATAAACAGTGGGGTTATTAAACGTGGTGGTGTCGTCATTGGTGGGGCATAGATAAGAAAGGGGCTGCGTGTGTGACAAGGGGAGACCGGCGGCAGGGGGAGAGAGAGGGTTGGGGCATAGAAATATAATCGGTGGCAGGGGGAGAGAGAAGCTGCGTTAGTGAATATGACTCAGAGAGTCGAGAATACAGTAGCTGCTAACATTGGCAGGCAGAAAGGGGGGCATCATAGCCAGTTATAACCTAAACCCGTGAATAACGTCCTTCCAATGATTGCTGAGTTTGTACCTATCTTCTCGGTTGAAATTGTGTCTGTGTTTATATATCTGGATGGCTTCATGGATAAATCTTTGATGGTAGCCCGAAGGTTTGCAGAGTACCTTAGTCTCGGAATAAGTATAACCCGTAAAAACTAAGTTTTTCACTATAAATCCTTTATATGCGTGGCGGCTAGAGTCCTCTTGTCCTCTGGCTTGAGGTGACTGCCACCTATGGGTCAGATGATTGCATTGCACCATTAAGCAATTGGTACTTAAATATAATATTTTTGTCCTAAAAAGTGTAACATTTTGGAAAAAACATTTTCACGAACATTAATTGTCACGCACAACGAGTCTGTGTGGAAAATGTCAGCTCGATTGGATCACGGGAAGTGGGTTAAAAAACGACCGAAAGATTTGCACGGTCCTAAGCAAGCAAGCGAACTTAATATAAAGGATTTATAAAAACAATATCGTGTGAACCCACCGCGTTAAAACAGTGATCAGCCACGGCAGAGGGATTGGTTCTGCCGTGTTTCAAATCTGCCTTGTGTTCGCGAACACGGTCCGAGACATGTCGTTTCGTTTCCCCGATGTAACTGCTGGCCGCAGACACAACTTAGTTTGTAGACAGATAGTTATATAACTCTTTTTCAGAAGCAACTTAGCCACAATGTATAGCTCAACGAAGTAGCGTATCGTGTGGAAGTCAGCCAAATACTCTCAGCACATGTTGATTATAAATGTGGTGGGGAAAACCCGCAGTGACCGGAGAGCGACAAATACAGAGTGCTTCAAAAATGTTTCAACATTTCGATAAAAAGCTTTCGTGACTGCAGGGATTCATCTTTTTGGTTCTTTCGGTAAAGTCACGTAGAAGGGAAATAATAAAAATAAAACAATAAAATACAATTCTCACGACGTTTCGGCCACAACGCAAGCAGCCGTCATCAGGTGAAGAACAGGTCTGTCGGACGCTGTCTTTCCGACAGACCTGTTCTTCACCTGAGGACGGCTGCTTGCGTTGTGGCCGAAACGTCGTGAGAATTGTATTTTATTACGTGTTATTTTTATTTTATTATTTCCCTTCTACGTGACTTTACCGAAAGAACCAAGAAAATGTTTCAACACTTATATGGGACTGTCGTTTTTAATGGAAAAAGAACGGATAATACACCATAACATGACAACAAATGTATGTTAATAGCTTAAACGAGTCTCCGCTTGTTCGCCATCATTGTCAACATGTGCCTGGAATCTTCTCCAGGTGTTCTCCAGAGCCTGGAGGCACATTTCTGGTGGTATCGTTTAAAATTCTCGGAAGTGTGAACATGTTTTTAAAGCACCCTGTACAGTATACAGCAGACGTCAGGGTCAGTGATCGAAGTCATGCCCTCCTGTATATCAGCAGATAGATGGGGGTTGTGTTAAGGCAGCGGTCGGGAACCTATGGCTCGTGAGCCATATATGGCTCTTCCAGTGACGGCATATGGCTCCCAGACAATTTTGAGTTGAAAAAAAAAAATTAAAAATCAGTTTGGAACTGATTTTAAAATACTTGTGATATTGTTTAATAATACTGTGTCATTTTAAAGTAAACAGAAATTAGTTTTGAAGATAAATTTCACGGGTCACGCCTGCACGAAGCTCAACGTCACCACGTATGAACCAGACTACAAGGCCATCAGCAAAACCACGCAGCACCAGAATTCGCATTAAAAGTAAGACATATTTAATTTACTATACGTTCAAAATACTATATGGCTCTCAATGAAATATATTTAGAAATATTTGGCTTTTATGGCTCTCCCAGTCAAAAAGGTTCCCGACCCCTGTGTTAAGGGATAACCAGAAGCTGCAGGTTGTTAAATTTCGATTTAAAGCTTTCGTGACTGCAGGGATTCATCTTCTTGGTTCTTTCGGTAAAGTCACGTAGAAGGGAAGTAATAAAATAATAAAAATAAAACGTTCCAAGCCTAGGAGGTGTCATTCAGACTCGACAGACCTGTTCTTCACCTGAGGACGGCTGCTTGCATTGTGGCCGAAACGTCGTGAGAATTATTTTATGTTTTATTTTTATTATTTTATTACTTCCCTTCTACGTGATGACTTTACCGAAAGAACCAAGAAGCTGCAGGTTGTTGTTATTGTTGTTGTTGTTTGAATGAAGATGGTTAATCCGTGTGCTGCAAGTGGGAGTTGGTTCAGTGAAGGGGAGAGAGAAGGGAGAATTCTAAGAGATCGATAGAGGCCCATAGAGGGGGGAAGGTGCAGAGAATATCGTAGAAGACAAGACGGGAGTCAGAGCACAGACATTGCAATGAGCACAGTTTACAGACACAGAGATAAGTGAATGCACGTACATACAGTACAAAGATAAACACCCTCTTGATACAGCAGCAATCGTGCTGTGACTGTTCCACCTGAAGACGGAAGCTAGTGTTGTCTCCGAAACGTCGTGATTTTTATTTGATTTTTATTAATTTTAATTTTTTACCTACGTGACTTTACCGAAAAAAAAACCTAAGAATATGAATCATTGCAGTCACGAAAGCTTCAAATCTAGAAATAAACACCCTCCCTGTAGCCTTTCACAGACTGTTGGCCAAGGCCGGCACTGTGGCACACGAGGGGGTGCGTCACAGCACCACGCCCGACCGCCTTTGTCTCCCCAGTGGCCATGTTAACACAGGTACTCATTTGGGGCTGAGTCGACCTAGGGGGGGCCCAGGACCGGTTCAGATATAATCATGAGGGCACCCAGGTCTGTCCGTAGCGGCATGTATCACTTGACGAAGGGACAGTGACTCTACGTCTTATTGGTTCTTTCGGTAAAGTCACGTAGAATGGAAATAATAAAAAGATAAAAATAAAACAAAGTAATTCTCACGACGTTTCGGCCACAACGCAAGCAGCCGTCCTCAGGTGAAGAACAGTTGTGGCCGAAACGTCGTGAGAATTATTTTATTATGTTTTATTTGTATTATTTTATTATTTCCATTCCACGTGACTTTAATAAAATATTATGTTTTATTTTTATTAATTTATTATTTCCATTCTACGTGACTTTAATAAAATGTTTTATTTTTATTATTTTATTATTTCCCTTCTACATGACTTTACCGAAAGAACCAAGAAGATGAATCCCTGCAGTCACAAAAGCTTTAAATTGAAATTTAGTGACTCTACGCTTGCCAAACGTGATGGAACATCTTCGCCGATTAGAAACATTTAGGTTAGTCGGCTAATGATCCATCCTGGGTTTAACCATATATGTGTGTGCGTCTAAGTCGATGTGTTTCTATATGTGTGTGTGTGGGTCAATGTCTGTGTGCAAGTCCATGTGTGTGTCTGCCTTTTTTTATAAATAAATAAAAGCCACGTGTTATTAAATAATAAAATAAGTAGGATAAGAATGTACTGTACCACAATTTTGGTGTTTTTATTTGCCGCGAGCGAAAGTTTAAAATAAAAATAAACTTGGAAAAATAAATAAACTTACGTTACACATGTAACTATGTACAGATGCACACAAATTAACCCGAATAAACATCTCACTGAAATTTTGATTTAAAGCTTTCGTGACTGCAGGGATTCATATTTTTGGTTCTTTCGGTAAAGTCACGTAGAAGGGGAATAATATTTGTATTAATTTTTTATAATTTTATTATTTCCCTTCTACGTGACTTTACCGAAAGAACCAAGAATATAATCGCACTGACCAACCAACGCACAGAGGAAAGTGCGACTAAGTTGGAACGAAAACATGAAGATATTTATTTATTATTTTAATAATAATAAAGTCTACAAATATCACATTTTGTACAGTTAATAAACACTGTGTAACAAAAAAGTGATGATTTTTTTTAGTCCCTGGGTAGTGTTACTTTTTATATGCTTATGCCTTTTCAAGTACAAAAAAAGCTATAATTCCCCTCAAACTTCACTTTTGTGACAAGGACAGTGATATTTAGAAATGTTGCTATTCATGAATCCCTGCATTCACGAAAGCTTTAAATCGAAACGTAGCTATTTGCAATGATAAAACGCGGTGTGCATTTGTGTCATTCCTTCACGTAAAGTCCTGCTCACAGAAGCAATAAGGCATTTTCTATAATTAGTCGGCTTTAAGCAAATAAAAAATAACACTTACTACCCAGAGGGAAAAAATCGTGTTACATCGTACGATCATCAAACATTGCTCAACCTCTATCATCTTACCTAATAATTAAGAGTAATACAAATTAGTAAAAAATAATATTTTTTTATGTTTTAACGGAGCTGTTAATATGCGTGACTCACCCTCAACTGACGGCGCGCGTGTGGGCGTTGCTAAGGGCAACCCCCCAGTCAGCGTTCCGCGCATGCGCAAACGTGTGCTGTCGCGCGCTGAGCGACAGCACACCTGATGATGATTGCTTGTGTTGCAGTCGAAACGTCGTGAGAATTTTTATTGTTTTATATTTTTATAATTTTTTTTATTGAAAATTTTCTTTCTGTGGATTTCACACCTGATGACGATTGCTTGTGTTGCAGTCGAAACGTCGTGAGAATTTTATTGTTTTATATTTTTATTATTTTATTTTTATTTGAAATTTTTTTCTGTGGATTTCACACCTGATGACGATTGCTTGTGTTGCAGTCGAAACGTCGTGAGAATTTTTATTGTTTTATATTTTTATTATTTTATTTTTATTTGAAATTTTCTTTCTGTGGATTTCACGCAGCTGATGATGATTGCTGCTTGTGTTGCAGTCGAAACGTCGTGAGAATTTTTATTGTTTTATATTTTTATTATTTTATTTTTATTTGAAATTTTCTTTCTGTGGATTTCACACCTGATAACGATTGCTTGTGTTGCAGTCGAAACGTCGTGAGAATTTTATTGTTTTATATTTTATTATTTTATTTTTATTTGAAATTTTCTTTCTGTGGATTTCACACCTGATGATGATTGCTTGTGTTGCAGTCGAAACGTCGTGAGAATTTTTATTGTTTTATATT